GCCCGGGAGACGACAGAGGGGGGGACGCGTGGGGTGCCAGCGCTGCGGGGAGCTGCTGTGGTGGCACTCAAGCTGCAGCCTCGTGGCCAGGCACTGCCACGCTGGCCGCAGACATGGCATGGCCATCATCCCACTGCCATGAACAGCTGAGGCCAGGCCACCCCTGGCACCGTGGGAGGTTCCTGGCCCTCACCAGGAAGGTTTCCCCATGACGTTGCTCTGACAGCTGAACGTCAATGAGGAGTTCAAGGGCACTCCACGACCCTCTGACCACACGCAGCTTTACCCTGGAGAGCTGCACCGTGACTCAAATTTGGCTTCTGTGTCCCTTTGCACTGCGGCACCTCGGCTCACGCTGCGGGAGCAGCACGTCTCATGGCTGCGCGCAGACCATAAAAAGGACCAGAGAAAACTGGTGAACACAAGGTCCTTGGGCAAGGTCTCTCCTCGGGGTCTGCTCTTGGTGAGAACCTCAAAGAACGGACCCAGATTCCGCACCTCCCTCAGACTTCTCTGGCGGTCGAGAAGGGAGCAGCTGGCTCTGCTGTCTGCTCCGTGGCGGACAATGACTTTTGAGCTCGTCTCTGGGCTGCTGTGCCTGGAGCTCTGGGAGCAGACGAGTGCCCCGACTTGGGCGCCTGGCACCGCCACACTTGGAGCAGCCCGCGCCACCAGAGCACCGCAGCCACAGCAGCCGCACGCCTGCGCCCTCGCGCCAGCCCGCGAGCAGCCATCCAGAGCGGGAGTGCTAACGAGCTAACAAATGTCTCACAGGTTCTGATAATGAGCAGCGTGCGGGAGCCAAAGCCCCGCTCCCCCTGCCCGCGCCTCTCTCCGACTCTGGCCCACGCGGGCACCACAGCACATGCCCTGCCTGCGCGCCAGGACGGGGAGCATCCAGGCATAGCACGCTCCCAAAGCTCTCCCGTCCTCTCAGACTGGGAAAAGCTTTTGGCCTCAGCTGCTAAGCAGTGTGTTGTGCATAGCAGGAGCCTGGGAGGACGAGGGCTGTGGATGTTGCTCGATGGCAGGGCTGGCTCTCCCCCCGGCTGGCACGCGGTGGCGGTGGCACAGATGTGCGAGTGCAGATAGAGCCGGGGAGCAGAGGTGCCAGGCGGCTGGCGGCCGTGCCAGGGCTCATTGTGCTGCTGCAGAGGCAGCCCGGGCTGTGTCACTGGCAATCAGCTGCAGCCCACTCAGGGCAGCACAGTCCCAGCGGCTGCAGGCGGCTCGGGCAGCTTTGTGTTTTTAATCTGCTTGTTGCCACGTTCCTCTGTTTGGTCCTTCCCAGCTTCTGCTTCCCTGGCACGTGCGCACAGGCTCATCAGGACTCATGATGGAGCACCAGGTATTTCCATCCCTTCCTGCTATCTCTGCAGCCTTTGTGTTCCAGGCACCCTGACGCCACACGTCCAGTGGCTCTCCTCAGTCAGCAGAAGCTGGGACAGGTGTCACACGGGGAGGGGGGCCGGTACCAACCTCCAGCACAAGTTGGCTCCTATAGCTCCTATAGCTCCTACAGCTCCTGCAGCTCCTGTAGCTCCTGTAGCTCCTATAGCTCCTTACTGAGTGGAGCACAGACTGTAGGAACGTGTTAATTCCATTTCTAAAAGTGTGAGAAAAAACCCACCATCAGTGCAGCTTCCAGTTCTGCTCTTTAAGTATCATATAATTTAGATTAACAGATATTTTGCAGATGCCACTGTACTTGACAAGATATAATTATTTTTAACAAGAAAAAGTTGATTTTTTCGACTGCTCTCTGAATGCAGGGCTGTTCCCCAACAGTGATCGTGTCGTGCATTGTGCCAGAGAGAACAACTCTTGCAGCAGAGCTGTAGAGTCTCCTTTTCTATCTGCATGACCATCGTGGTTTAACCCCAGCCGGCGACTCAGCCCCGTGCAGCCGCTCGCTCCGTCCCCCCAGTGGGATGGGGGAGAGAATCGGGAGGGTAACAGTGAGAAAACTCGTGGCTCGAGATAAAGGCAGTTTAATAGGTAAAGCAAAAGCCGTGCACACAAGCAAAGCAAACCAAGGAATTCATTCACCAGTTCCCGTGGGCAGGCAGCTGGTCGGCACCTCCAGGACAGCAGGGCTCCATCACGTGTAATGGTCACTTGGGAAGACAAATGCCATCACTCCAAACATCCCCTGCTTCATTCTTCTTCCTCCAGCTTTATATGCTGAGTATGACGTCATATGGTCTGGAATACCCTTGGGTCAGTTGGGGTCACCTGTCCCAGCTGGGTCCCCTCCCAGCTCCCTGTGCCCCCCCGGCCTCCTCGCTGAGGGGGTGGGGAGCAGAAAAGGCCTTGATGCTGTGTAAGCAGTGCTCAGCGATAACGAAAACATCCCGTTATCAACACTGTTTTCAGCACAAATCCAAAACACAGCCCCGTACCAGCTACTTGGGAGAAAATTAACTCTATGCCAGCCAAAGCTGGCACGACGCAGCATTTGTGCTGATATCTGTGGCTCCCAAAGATGTCCTTGAAAAGACCCAGCTACTTGGGAGAAAATTAACTCTACGCCAGCCAAAGCTGGCACAACTGAATTGCAGTCCTGTCTTTTTGCAATGGGCTTATTAGACAAATTTTTCCACTGTGAACAAACAAATTGTGGCTGTTGCCACAGGGGGCTAATAAAGTAGTAGTTTATTTGATAACAGGATAAGGAAAAAGCATCAGGATGAGTTCCTCAAAACTGAGAGAAACTAAAACATGCAGTTACCACATGTGGGGAAGGATCGTTAACAGCTCCCTTGTACAGATAGGAGTAGAAGAAAGAAATTTACAGTTGTAGAACGGTGACGGGTTGGCAGGAGAAGGGTTGTCTGCTTCTATTTGGAGAACAACTGTTATGTGGAACAAGTTGAAGTGATCGTTCTGTTTTGCATAAGGACTTTGGTTTGTCAAATATGAGCTAACCCAGTATAAAGAGCTTAATATCCAAACTTCTCAATATCTGTAAATAGCACAGTTCTGCAGGAGATTCTTAAAACCAATATTTATTTTGAAAAAGCTTTCTGCACAAAAATCAAGCTCACAGCATGGGAACAATAAACCTCTAATATAGTGAGGAAACAGATCAACCTCAAAAATGAACAAAGGATTGACTAGTGTGAAAGGGATGCAACTGGAACATTTCTACACACATGGAAGATAAATTCACACAGTAGTGCCCTATTTACAGGGAAAGACTTCATTAAGTTTTTTGCCATTTTTCCATCCTGAAAGGAATTCCTGTATGATTAACATTCGAATCATGCACTGAGTCATATTATTGTAAGTTTCTCATTGTTGGCTCCTAGCAGAGGTGTGTTGCCACTTCCTGGTCACGGAAATCATGTTGACAGAAAGAAAAGATAGTCTGCAAAGGAACAATTCATTACCTGCTTGAAATACATTACTTTGGATTTTCACAAGAATCTTGTCCTGTCAGAATAACAGAAATTCTAAAACACGAAAAGGGACTGTAGGTTTGTTAACTAACTTCACACTAAAACATAGCTGACAGTGTTCGAATACTGTGAGAACGGACTGGAAGATATTCCCCATAAAACCCTGTTGTTTTAGCAGTACAAGGTAGTAAGGAAAGTGACGGTTAAGCCATACATCGTATTTTGAAATGCTATCTTAGGTTCCTTCCCCTCGCCCCTTTGGACGTTTTTATCTAAAGTTAAAAAGACTTTCACTGTTGTTTGTGCACAGTGGAGTGCTGCAGTCTGTAGCTTGAAACCTTCACAGCTTTTTTGCGTGTTAAATGCTGTGCAGTGACAGCAGTTATTTCCTTTGAGTTTTTTGCCTGTTCCATTAAAATTTACTTAACACTGTAGTCCTGCATACTTCTTTGTCAAACTGGTACAGAACAAAGGACCGATGAATGTCAAGTTTAGAGTGCTTGAACTTGAGAGGTGGCAGAAGTCCTATGCACTGGAAGATCAAGACGTGTTGGAGTGCTGAGATAAGGCAACAGTGAGTGCATCATAAAACACATGGAGTGAGGCCGAGTGGCATATAATATTATAACTTTCTTCTAATTATCTTCTACTTTTAAGTGTTGTTCACTTTACCCACTTATGCTCCTGTTCTATAAGTCATAGTAACAAATATTTCCAAAAAGCTATTTCTGAGTGCACATTTCCACGTGGTAACAGAATAAATTCACTTTTCATGCACAGAGGGAATAAAATGTTTGCTATTAGGTTGTATCTAAATTTACTAACTTTTGAAGTTTTTTTTTCAGGTGAAAGACTATGTGGACTTACATTTTTACACTGATAGGGAGTATAAAATATCAATTTCCAGTTCTGTTTTCATAGACTTCCCTCACAGTTTCTTTCTTGGATATAACAGGTAGTGATTTACTTTAAAAAAATTATTGTTTTGTTAGATAGCAAAATAACTAACTACACTTCTAACGAAGTAAAATTCCTGCTTACCACTGCCAAAATAATTACTTTCTTTGGTTTCTTTCAACTTCTATTGAGAAATTTTTCTTTTGTTAATTTCTCTAAAAACTTGTTTTTCCAGATTATCATTAAGAATTGAGCCAGGTAACAGCTCTCCTCGACTGGTTTCCTCCAAAGAAGATCTTGCAGGTATAAAACTTCATTTGATAATTTAAGGAAATAATTTTAATTACAGAAATCCTCCACTGAAGTATATGGGAAAACCCGTTTTATATCAGAGGGGTTTTGGAGGAATTAATCCGTTTAACATACGGGCTTTTGTTGCAATTACACAATCGCCTGGTAAGGGCTGTCAGAGAATGGTCGCTTTCTATGCGTATGCCCAGTTTCAGAACATCCTTGATCCAGAACACTACTCCTCTGATGGTTATAAAAGATCTGATTTTTGTTGCAAATTTCTACATAGCCAGCTTGTACTTGGGTTAGCACTGTCCTTTGTCTTAAATAATTTTCTTCCTTTATGATAGATACCCTCAGAGATTCTTACAGTAACAAATTATATCCCACATACGAAGATTGATTCCACACGTCAGCATTCCTTTGACTAGGCAAAGCAGATCCATTGATGGATGAAAATAAATGAATGAAATTTTTTTTCATTAAATGAATGAAACCAATTTGATTTCCGAAGTAAGACTTAATTCGCAGAGGTGGTAGAGGAGGGATGTACTGATATTTGCCTTTCTGGAGAACTGGTTTATCTGGAGATAAAGAAGAATGTTTTTAAGGTGATTTATTAGTAGGTTTCACATTTTTCATAGGTAGCATAAAACCTATCGGACTTTCCTCTGCTGAGATTAAAAACCCAGCTCTAGCACAGTATGGCTAAAATTAATCCCTGGGATTGACCAGTGCAAATTGCCAAGGGTGTCAGTAGCGATACCACGTCTCCCGCTGACCTCGTTACCGTATCAGAGACTACGGAGGGACCACGATTCCCAGTGGTATTGCCGTGAGCTGCTTTGTCCAGAAGCCAGAGCTGGTAATTTAGAGGTCTTATCAGTAGCATGAGTCATCAGTAAAGATTGCTGACTTGTATATAAACAATTGCAGTTTGAGGGATAACACAGGGTGTTTGTTAGCATGGGAACAGAAATTAGATTGTGTGAGTTTTTTACGAATGTTTGCATTTTCTTTATCATTTAGTAAGTGAAGAAAGAACAGTGCTCTTTCAGTACAAACGAATCAATGCAGTGAATAAGACTTTCCGGTTCCTCTGTGAACTAACATAAATTCGAGATGATTTCATTGTGTGAAGCAGGAGGACAAAAGATCTGTAGTAGCTTTTAGCAGCATCTAAAAAAACTACAGTACCATCCATAAGTTGACCAAAAAAATCTGCTGTACCAACATTGTTTATTTCTATGGACCGACTAAACAAACATCAGACTATGTGAAATGTACTTACTGCCATAGGAGCCATTATCTCAAAGGCTGTTCTATTTTAATCTCTTAAACCTGAATGGCCAATATTTTGTCTCATTATGTTAAACCATGTGTGAATGCAAAAAAAGCCAAGGAGTCTAGACCACATCTGACGAGCAATATTGTTTAGTGTTCATAACATCTTCTCTTCTTCCCAAATGAGAGAGAGACAAAGTAAATGGAAGAGAGAAAGAAAAAGGAAGATGCTAAATATAAAAGGAGAAAGATAAATGCTAGTGGTTTTCCTCCACCTTCCAGCTCTTCACGTTGGCTGCTGTGAAACCCTTTCTAAGTGTCCAATGTTTGAGTCATTTATGGGGAACCTCTTGTTTGTCTCAGGATCATGAGCACTATTCCCTGAGTCAGATGAACGTTTGGTCTGGTCTTCAGTCCATACAGTTCTGAGGAAAAAGGAATAAAATATGTAGGAATAATAATTTGGAAGAAAACATTTCTTCAGGAAGGTGCTCTCCTCCTCCCCCCCCCTCAATGCTCAGTATTAGTAATTGCTGTGTAAAATATAAGGTAATAGTTCACAGGAGGAAATTTAGGTTTTTTAACTAGGTAGTTTCAAAAGAAGTTCTTAATTAACACTTCTTTGTACAGACGTGTGTTGGGTCTGGCTGGGTTGGAGTTAACTTTTCCCACAGCAGCCCTTATAGTGCTGTGCCTCGTGTTTGTAGTTGGAAAGGTGTTGATAAGGCGCCGGTGTTTCGGCTGCTGCTGAGTGGTGCTCACAGCATCAGGGCTGTCTCGCCAAACCCACCCCCTGCAGAAGAGGCCGATAGGCTGAGGGCGGGCAAGAGGGTGGGAGGGGACATGGCCAGGACAGCTGGCTCAAGCTGACCGAAGGGATATTCTGTACAATATGACGTGCTCAGCAGTAAAAGCAAAGAGAAGGAGGGTGCTCCATTTGTTAAGGTGTTTATCTTCAGAAGCCTCTGCCGCAAGTGCCGAGGCCCTTCTTCCCAGGCAGCGGCTGAACGTTGCCTGCTGATGGGAAGTGGATGATAAATTGTTTTTGGTTTTCCTTTGCTTCTGTACCCAGCCTTTGCTTTTCTTTATTAAACTGCCTTTATCGTGACTCACAAAGTTTTTTTAATCTTATTTTCTCCCCTTGCCCTGTCCTGTTAGAGGAGGGGGAGTGCTAGAGCCGCCAGCCAAGGTCAGCCCACCACATCATGTAATATTTGATTTTGCTTTTGTGAGGATTTGCTTTTTCATACTTGAAACTTAAAACTAAGTCATTGCCTCTCATGATTATATCTTACATATGTAAAGCAGACATACAAGTGAACTTTTTTGTTTTCTGGCTTTCACTTTGTATTGCTCGCATTTAAATGCTTTACATTAGGGTTTTGATGTTAACGTTCCATTAGGATAATTGTGGAAGTTCTAACGTTGATCATAGCAGCATAGTACGTGGTCATCGCCATACTCTCTAAGTCTTAATCGAAGGCTTAGGCTTTATTAGAGCTGTAATGGAAGACAATTAAAAATACAGTTCCAAAGTTGGAAACGAGAACTTTAAACTCTACTGAGCCAGGCAAGTAATATGGCCTTATACTGCAGTGAGCTCAGCTGGAGTCCACAAATACTGATTGGGATAATGTTCAGTAGCACCTGCTGGATTCAATATGTGGTTGTGTGGTATCTGGCAGTATTAGGAGAAGGTGAACTTCCCCCTCTGAATCTGAAGTGCCCCTGTATGTTCTGTAAGATGGATTTATTCAGAGCGAGAATTAATATGACAACTACAAACCAAGTCTTGAGACATTCCTGTTGCTCCATTCTTCTGTTAATATTTCCTTCGAAAGCTTGACATGCTTGTGGACTGCTGTATTTCTTGCTTAGCTAGAGAGTTCTCACTTACTGCCAGTTGGACAATGAATGCCAACAGCATTTTGTAATACTCATGAATTTTTCAGTGACCTGCACCTATGTGGCTGCAAAAATGCTACTAAAGGGAATCCAGTGTACTTTATTGAAAAAGAAAATTAATTCCTGGAGAAGGTTAGTTAAGTAAGTTAGCATGAATTCAAATTGCAGTTTGACTAAGCATGAAGGCAATAGTTTGTTGTTTATTTCACAACATTAGTAAGTAGAAATATAGCCATGTTAGTCTTGAGTAATTGCAAGCTAAAATACCCAAATATCAGTAATGAGATATTTGATCCTGGAAAATTAAAAATAGCGCTTTCAAAGGTATTCAAGTCAACTTTATTTGGATTCAAATTGTCGTTTGAGATTATTTCCACATCAGACATTGCATGCCAGGAGTAAATCCTTTGCAGTCAGCAAGCTATAATGATGAGAGATGATCTCAAAATAGTTTAGGCAGTAGTTTAGTGTTCCAGTCAGTAGTTTAAGGCATAGGAGTCTGAATGTAGTGCTTTTAAGGTTAAATAAAAGTTCTCGACCCATCAGTTCAGTTCTCCTGATATTCAAAAAGTTAATACGTTACTGACAGCAGTAAGTCCAGTTAAGTTCTGCCTGTGACATACTGCCTTCTTATCGGTTGCCACGTGTTTCCAAATATGGAGAAAAAAGCTCGATATCATGGTAATAATTCCGAAGTCTATAATGGACTTAAGTGCAGAGAATAGTGTCTTCTTCATGGACTAAAGTATAATTACTTGTGTTGATGATGGAAATGGATTTTCCTTCCCAGCATTGTGACTTTATCTTCTACCCAGCTTCATTTTTTTCTCTTTCAAAAGAAGATTAACAGCATAGTCTAGCCAGGGACATTGCGGTTTGGTTTTTTTCCCCGTAAAGTATCTTTATGAGTGTGAGCCTCAATAAGAACAGTTAAATCCTTCAGTATTTCTGTTTGCAAAGTACTGGAGAAAACCATGTGTCCATTTTCCACTTTGGTTGCCAACTGGTTTTCCAGTAAATTCAAACAGGAGGCAGACATCTTATTAAAGTGTGTGTCTCACAACAAGCTATGTTTGGTATATTAGTGGCTAAGGTGGTCTCATTTAATGCATATGCAATTGTAAATAGTGCTTTCATAGGAAGATTTCATGCCTTCCATAACACTGCAGAGATTCTTGTCTCTTGCAAGGAGCATTTAAAAAGGAGCTTTAAACAGTTTAATTGTATGCTTTCAGGAGCCGCGTGATCCACGCAACTTCCTTGGCAGCAACTTAAAGTCTGTTCATTCTGCCTTGCTATGGTTTGAGAGAGAGAGAGAATGTAGCTGGAGAGCTTATAGTATGCGAACTGTTCACAGTTTCCAGTTGAATTAGCTGTAAAAAGCATCTGTGTTCCTGCAGTGTTGGCTAGGAGGTGCCCGGCGTTTATGTTACAGCTATTAGACAGATTGTTTTGGGAGGCATAACTCAATACATTTTCCCAGAACAAAAGAAAAGAATTAATGTAATATGTGGTAAATAAGTTAGCCTTCTAAGCAACTGAAGTTCCTTAGAATTTGCACATCAAGTGTAGCTCAGTGTAGAAAACTTTATGCGTGTTCTTTATCATCCTAATGTTATTTTGAAAAGTTCAGGACACTGTGCTAATCAGAACATAGAAAATGGTCACTTGTTCTCTGAAATATGCCACGTTTATCCTGTCTTGGAAAACAATATAAAAAGATAAAATAATGTTAAAGTAATTACCATATCCAGAAAATTATGTCAAATAGTAAGCGATTCAAATAGTGGTCTTCATTATTCTGTGATTTTTAACAAACTCCTTCATTAAAGTTAGCATTTAGAAGTCCTTTTTTAGCAACAGCCAGGCCTCAGATGTGGGCAGCCCTTATTTTGGGGTTTTGTTATGCAGTAGTCAGGGATGGAACCTCACCATCTCCTCCCCGCCCCCACCAAGTAGGTCTTGGTACAGTTCTTGAGAGGAGAATAAGTAGACCAGAGATTTTATGTTACCACCCTACCAGGAATCTGGAGTAATTAATCTGAAATGGGTGTATTCTCTTCTTTGTTATTGGGGTATAATCCAGTCCATTCAGCCTTGAGAGTTACTGACGAACTTTTAATATTTATTTTAATTAGTTAGAAGTAGTAGATTTATCTGATGTAAATATGTGATATGTACCACTTAAAAATGTAGAAACGGAAGAAAGACTGGGATGTTTGCACATTTGTAACCCTCTGGAAGTAGATATGCTGCACAGTGACATCTGTACAGCAGTCCCAGCATTTTAGAATAAAAAAAACCCATCAGACCGTCATTTTCTGTGTAAACCCTGAGTTGACATTTAGTTTTGCCATTTGTTTTACTGGTTGCTTTGGCAACTGGTAAATAGTTTGGGCTAAGTGCTTTAGCAGCCAATCATTCTGTGGCAATGAGGATTGTCTAATCCTCCTGCAAGTGCTTGGTTATTGCTTCGCGTGCGTAGCGTCTGCTTTTCTTACGCTGTACTTAGGTAGAAATGGAAGAACGAAGTTTTGTTCACAGAAGTTTACAGACCATCCAGAAAACTTTGCTCTTCAGTTTCAAACTTACACTAATTTCCAATCTCTTCCTCTGTGATACTTTCCCTATGAATTTTTACAACTCATTTGAATATTTTTGAAAGAAATTAGTACCAGACAAATTTGTGGGATTCATATGTTATCAACCACTAAATCCAGCCAGAATTAATGTGCTGTGTTTTTTTTCTTAACAGACCAAAGCTTCACAAAAATCGTAGAATATTCTGTCAAAGAAATCTAAAGTTATCAGGGAGAGAAGGATCATGCTCAGTTTTTATCACTTTCTATTACTTTATGTGACTTCCTTACCAAACAAGTCTTTTTAATGTCCTGGTTTACTGATGCTTATTTTAACTACCAAGCTATTTCTCCCTCAGAATGTTAAGAACATATAAAACACCTAGAAGATAAGGGGCTTTTCTGCTCTTCTTTGTTTTTTTTTCTTTCTTTCTTCAGAGCAGTCACCTGAAATAATTTCTGCAAAAAGTTTTGGGGTGTTTTTTTGGTGGATTGGTTAATGTATTTTGTTGAACCCGTACTTCAGAGTTTCCCTGGAGCTGTGCTCTTACAATGGGTCTGGCTTCATTGCCAATATGGATGTCATCCAAGCTCATGCACTACCCTGCAGATCCAGCTGCAAAAAATTCAGCATTTTTGCTGAAGTGTAAGTCAGGGTTTTGCACATTCCACTGGTGCAGTATAAGTAACAGAAATGCTGACAATTAGTGATTCTATAAAAATAACACCTGAAATTGAAAGTATCAAGCATTTGAAATAAATACACTCAAGTGTGCTTACTGTGCAGTCCAAGTACATTAGAAATGTCGTTAGTTGTACTTGGTCTGGAAAGAACGGCACAGACCGAAGAGCCCCAGGTTTCTGGTTGGTTTGGTTCTCTGGTTGGCTTTTCTGGTTTGGTGTTGCTCTTGTCCTCGCTAACTATATTAAATTTGTGATCTTGTCTGCACTGCAATTTCATCTTTCACTACTTTATTAACATATTTCTACAGTCTACTTTTGGATACACTGGATTGAGTACTGCTGGGCAAACTCCTCTGGGGTCCGTTTTGTATGTTTTGACACTTCATATATTGACATCAACAGAATCCCCTCTGTGTCCACGTCACTTAATTGATCCCTTTCTGGCAATTACAGCAAAAACATACTCCAGAAGTGAATGGTCCAAGAAGATTGAAGTACTTCCTCACACATGCACGCAGGTTTTTCATAACAGCAATGGAGACAGGGTGAACGGAGCTGCACCTGCCTAGTCTGTGCTTGCCCGTTAAGGGACATTGGTATCCTGAAATAACCCAGCATGATTCACTGTTATACTTAAATTTATGGGAAGGAAAAGTATAAGTTAATATGCTCATGTGACTGAAAGTTCTCTTTTTCATAATTGTTGTTATTGATAGACATTACAAAAGACTGACATATATGTCAGTGTTTATTCCCTTGCTGCAAACCATGCTTTTGGAATTAACCTTTAAATTAGTGGATTTTGTTAATGCAAATTTGAACATAAAGCAAAGACTACCTTGAAGGAG